AGGGAATCCTAACGGAATCCCTAACCACCGTTAGGAATATTCTGTCAAAATAAAGGAATATTCCGTCCAAATTACCTGACGCCATTACCCTCCGTTAGGAATATTCCGTCAACTTGACGGAATATTCTTCATCTCTGACCTTGGGTTGCCGGAGCCGGCACCGGTCGCCACTGCGTTCACCGGGAACTGGGAAAACACAAAAACCTTCATATCTCGTCCAATTCTTAACCAAAATCAGTAAAACTTGCACCAATTTGAAGCTTAGGACGAGTAGAACACAACCATATCTGGTTTGGGACCTAAAATCCGTGGAAATTTGCTGGAGATCCTTCGATAATCCAGCCAAACTTTGAACTCGTCAATCTCGACTTCCCGACGTCCAATTCACCTCGTTTTTCTTCTCCAAGCTTCGTGGAGAAGTCCTAAAGCTTCCTAGAAGCTCAAAAACCACTGAAACCTTCACATTTACGTGTGCATGAACAGTGCACCAAAATTGAGTATCTCGGGTTCTCGGGTTTCGAAGGTTTCATGACCAGAAAAGGGTATGGTTGAGCTTGTGACGATGAGATGAAGATGATGATGGTAACTACGAGCTCGATCTGTGACGGGAAGTGAACCCTCAAGGTTGTCCGTACGACTTGTACGGAAGATAGAAGAAATCCAAGAGGGAAGAGAGAGAGTCAACGGGAGAGAGAGAGAAAAAAAAGGTATGGGTGTTTGTGTGTGTGATCCTAGTTGGTCACAAACCAAACAAAACTAAGTCCTTTTTAGTTCCTTTAGTTCTAAAAACTTAGGAAAATAATGGATGGATCCAAAACCTAAGTACACAAAACACACAACACACTTTAACGTCCAAGGGTATATAAGTAATTTCATGCCATCGAAAATAAATATTTCAGGACAGGCTATCACAGCCCCCTGTTTGTAGCCGTTGGATCAAATTTTAACAGCCCATATCACTTGATCTTTAGGCTCAAATTATTAGGATATGGAGGGGATCCGGTTCCTTTCTTAAGCTCATATACCCTTTGGAGTGTTGACATTTGACCGTTTATTGAAATCATACTTAATAGTATTAACTTTTGAATTTTTTTTATAATAAATAAAAATTAAAAAAAAATTATATCAAAAGAACACGTGTAACTCAAATAAATAAATTATAAAGAAGCCATATAGAGTTTGCGTGCACAAGAAAGGAGATGGTAAATATATATCATGCGCATTTGCCTCTTTGTAGTAGGAATCCCATAAAAACATCAGGATAATGTTATCTTCTTAATTCATAAAAATAAAAATATCTTCCGTGCTGCAATAAAGTTTGCAAATCCAAGACATTTTTAAGGAAGAAATGGAAACTGGCTTCCAAAATTGTTAAAAATTAAAAGTAGAAGACATGAATTCAAGGCATTTTTAAGTAAGAACCTCAGATTGGATATAAACCTTATAACGGTTCATCTAGTTCGATTAGCAAAAACAAGATTTCTATTTTTTGAACAAATGATATTATCTACACTAAGGTAGAGGAGATGGGCTTAGCCTCACAATGGGCTAGTAATAATGTGGTTCAAATTCGCAATTGGCGAGAATCGACCCTAAGACCTCTGACTTACAAATGAAGAGGAATACCACTAAACCATAGTACTAATTAGCAATGTAAACAAGATTTAGAAAATGACATTCATTCTAATTTATTCTGTATAACTTGAATCTAGTGGCCACTTACGTGACCTACTTTCACAGAGTTGGACAATTAGTATGAGATCAACATTTTCAGCGTCCCAGTTACAACATCGTAATGATCACAAATATACACATTCAATTGGCACCTCATATAATTGCTTTTGAAATGTGTTCACTTGTGGAAAACTAGGTAACTCTTATCTATTAATTTTCCAAGTGCACTGCAACAAAGCCTATATAGTTCATGGAGTTAAAGTCATTTCTTCAAACAATGACTTAGGAAATGTGACTTGAATTTTAATTTTAGTTTAGAACTAATTATGTAGTTTTTATAAAATCGTTTTAGTATGCATAGCAATGATATAAATATGTGGAATTATTAGTTAAGTTTGTTTCCTTTATAGACAAAAAGAACATAAAGAGCGGCCTTTGTTGAAAAAGAATCACAAGCAGCAATTACAACTCCATTTGACCGACCCTTTTTAATAAAGTGATTGGTCCATAGACTTTTCCTAATAACAACAAAAACTTTTCTCTATGGTGACATATAACAAAGAAACTTTAACATATATTAAACAAACATCGAGCAAAATGAAGACTAAGAAAGATTTTTTTTTTTTTCTAAAAAAGAAAAAAAGGGACCAGCTGATTGCCAAGTTACGGTAATTCACTTTTTAACTGGTGAGGAAGATTCACATAGACATTTTAGCCTCCTTTGATTATAGTGTGATTTACCAACATCAGAAATTAAACGTATAATAAATTTTCTGAAATACGAGGTTGGAATTTGTCCCACACAATGAACCATCCCGTGGTGGTTGAGAAAGATAATTAGAAACATAATTTACTAGGAGGGTTTTCACGTTATGGAGTACTATATTTAAAAAGTACGTACCATAGAAAGAATCATAAAACTATTTACTTTATATTGTACTATTTCCAAATACAAACGGTTGTGTGAATGTGTATTGGTGGTAATTACCATGCACGTGATTAACTATAATCAGTAATTAAGGAATCCAAATTGGAGGATCACATCAACATTTTCAATTGTTTACGTAACGTCTTAATATAAGATATCGACATCTCGTTAACAACTTCGTGATGCACCATGTTGGTTAGTTCTTAGTAAAGATTAATTTGGATGCGTCAACATGAAAAATACGTATTAATTGATTACATCTTGTATAACAATAAGAAATGATAATCACAGAATCTAATTCTCTACTTGCATAATACCTACTTAATTTTATTCATTTTTTATTTGATTTAGTCAGTATGATGATCTTTTGTGACCGAAAGTAAATGTCATGAGTTTTTATTTGATTTATTCGTGTTTTTATTTATTTCTATTGAGGGCGACACTTGACCCAATAGAAAGGTTGGTCACAAGTTCGAGTAAGGGAAATAGTCTATTTGCAAAAGAAAGGTAAGACTGTGTACAACACACATTCCTCTTGAGACTCGCAAGCAAAAAACTTTGTTGACTTAAGAGTAGTTTTGTTTTTTTTTTAATTCTGATGAACAGATATAAACAAATAGGTGTATAATGATTAAAATACTGTGCGATGAGTTATTTTTTCCTTAACAATAATGCCTAATTGCTTATAGCAGTCGAGGAAAACAAAGGGAAATTATGAGAAACTAACAAGATTAAAGCAAATGATTAGTTATTTATATAATACTGTTCTTGTTAATTTATTTCTTGTGTACACATATCACATATATCATGCCGTTAGTCAAGTTTTTCGTTAGTCACAATCATATTGCATATATAGAATGTCCCACCCAATGTTCTTTTGTCTGTTTTCTTTTGCCTTTTTCTTGCTGATTGATGACCCTTAATTTGTTGCATGCATGAATCCTACCGTACTTTTTGACCCCAAAAGACCACGAGCTACAAAAGCCTTTTTGTTTCACTTGGAATAATAATTGATGGAATCGGGAGGTTAACCAACTAAGTGACCAACTTAAAGGAATTCTCTCTCTTTATTTTGTTGTGAAAAAAGTTTTTTGAGCAAGAGACTAATTAAGGTGTGGCCTTAATGTTACTGCACTGAGTGTAATAGATGCTTTATCGTTAAATTTTATATTCACTAATAATTGTCTATTTTCAGTTTTAATCATTCATTTTTCATATCATTCGATGTTACATGCTATTAAAATAAATTGCAAAATTTAAAAATTTTAGATGTGGTTGCGGTGCATGTTGATAACAGTATACCAAGCTTAATAGCTTGTGATCCTGTGGTTGTAATTGTGACAGGTGTAAGCATCTTGTAATTTTTGTAATAGCTTACGGAGTAAGCAACCTTGTTAGATATGTACCTTTGATAACTGCCATAGTAATCTGTTAAGAAAAACTGTTAATGAAAAATCACTTCTTTGTCTAAACTTTCTCTCTCTCTCTCTCTCTCTCTCTCTTTGAATACTCTTTCTTCTTCTGCAAGAATTCAATTCTTCTTCTTTGCTATTACATTTACATGGTATCATTCGTCGGAAGAGCTTCATGCTTGACGGTTTATTGATCTTGGTTCTTCTACTTCCGCTCTGCTACTCAATTTAGGGTTTCTAATTACCCTCTTCTTCTTTGTTTCTTGGTGCCTGTAATCTTGCACATAAGGTGTTTGATCTTACACCTCAAAGAATTTTTCTTTAGAATCTTGCTTGTTATTCGATCATGGGGATTGCAATGCAACTGCAGATTCTTCAATCCCTGATTACTTCTTTAATTTCATTAGTTTCGTCCTCTGTCTCTATGAAACTTGATGAATCCAACTACATCACATGGCATTTTCAGATGGAGCTTATTTTGGAAGGCCATGGTATTATGGGTTTTGTGGATGGTATAAACCCTTGACCTCCAAGATTTGATACTCAGTTTTCGAGTGATTCCACTGTGTCTTTTAGTGATGATTACAAGATTTGGAAGATGCATGATCGAGCTCTCATGCAACTCATTACTGCCATTGTCTCCTTCTGCAATTTCTTGCGCTATAGGTAGCACCAGTGCTCGAGATTTATAGGTTCGTCTTAAGGAACAGTTCTCCATTGTCACTTGCGCTACAATCTTTCAAATGAAATCTGAGTTGCATAACATCAAGAAAAGTACATATTCCATTTCTTTGTATCTTCAACGCATTAAAGAAGCCCGTGATTACTTGGCTGCTGCTGGAGTTCTATTTGATGTTGATGACATTGTGATCTTGACTCTTAATGGTCTGTCTTCTGAATATAGTACACTGAGAACTATTATTAAGGGTAGGGAGAATGTTATTTTTATGAAGGATCTTCGCTCATAGTTGCTTGCTGAAAAAGCAATGATTGCTAATGTTTCTGTCACTAATTTCCTTTATGCAATGGTGGCTAGCAATCTCTCTGGTTCATCTAAGTCTTCTAACTTTGAAGATAATGAGCATTATGAGAGTTCCTTTAAAAATGGTAATTCCTCAAATGGAGGTTTATATGGTTCTCAAAGAGGTTTTTATCAGTCAAATGGTTTTGGCTATAAGTCAAATGGTTTTGGCTATAAGTCAAATTACGACAGAAACAAGGGTAAAGGCAAGCATTACTATAATTCTAAGTCTCGATTTGGCAATGCAAAGTATGGTAACTTCAATAACAATGCTCCTGGTCTTCTTGGTACTTCTCCACCAAGATCACAAGGGTTTTCCTAGACTCCATGTCAAATATGTGATAAATATGGACATCTAGCTTTTACTTGCAAATTCAGAAATACTAAGAATCCTATTACAGAAAGATGTCAAATATGTGGGAAGAGGAATCACAGTGCTCCATTTTGTCACTTCAGAATTGCAAACATTCAATCTTAGCAAGTGTCAGCTATGCATGTTGTTGCTCCATCAACTATTCCAAGCGTTCCCCCTCAACAAATGTGGCTTGCTGATTCTCGGCAACATCTCATATGACTGCGGATCTCAATATCTTGTCATTGGCTTCTCAATTTCCTTCCAATGAAACAATCTAAACAGTTGTTGGTGGTGCAGGTTTATCAATCTCCCACATTGGTTCTTCCATGCTCCATACACATCTTAAACCACTGCACCTTAATTCAGTTCTATATGTCCCTAGATTAACTCAGAATCTGTTATCTATGCATAGACTGTGCTTGGATAATAACTGTAGTTAATATATGATGTTGTCTGTTTTTGGATCCAAGACAAAGCCACAAGGAAGATTCTATTCAAGGGACTTTGCAGTAATGGATTATATCATATTCCTCTCCCAGCCTCACACCATTCTTCACAACCCAAAGTACAAGTGCTTTTCTTAGACAACAAGTATCTTCTAGTCTATGGCATAGTAGATTAGGTCGCCCATCCAATTATATAGTTTCTACAATGTTAAGAAAGTGCAATGTCTATGTTATACCTGATGACAAGTCTGTGATGTGTCATACATGTCTAGAGGGAAAGTTTTGTAAATTGCCATTTGTTCCTTCTACCTCTAAGTCCCTACATCATTTTGATATTGTTCACAGTGATGTCTGGGGTTATTCTCCATGTAATTTTGTAGAGGATTTTAAATACTATGTGACATTCATTGATGAATGCACTAGATATCGTTGATTTTTTCCTATAATCAATAAAAGTAATGTTTGTTCATCTTTCATTGCCTTTTACAACTTTGTGTTGAGTCACTTTGCCATTTTTGTTAAAACATTACAAAGTGATGGAGGAGGTGAATATATTAGCAAGCCATTTCAACAGTTTCTTATGAATAAAGTATTAAACACCAACTTTCATGCCCATATACCCCTGAACAAAATGGCCTAGCTGAGAGGAAGCATAGACATATTGTTGAAACAGTTATAACCCTTTTACAAACTGCCTCATTGCCCCCCCCCCAAATCATGGTATTTTGCTTGTCAAGTTGTTGTTTACCTCATAAACAGAATGCCAACTCCAACACTAAATAACAAATCACCATTTGAATTGTTATTTAAACACATTCCAGACATCAATCATCTTAGGATCTTTGGCTGTTCTTGTTTCCCACTGTTGAAACCCTATAATAGTACCAAGTTACAACCTAAAACCACAAAATGTGTCTTTTTAGGCTATGCTTCCAGATACAAAGGCTACATATGCTATGAGGTGAATCAACAGAAGGTTTTTATCTCTAGGCATGTCATTTTTTATGAGAGTGAATTTCCCTATGCCATGTTGTCTTCCAAACACTTATATTAGTCCTTTTCTATTTCTTCCAATATGTCTTCTTATGCTCTCATGCTATCTGTTACACATGACAATCATGTTGCTCCCATATCAACTGCATCTATTATGCATGTCCTTGTGCCACATACTATACCATCATCTCCACATGGACTTATAAACCCAGTTCTTAAATCCATTACTGCAACTTTAACACAATATGTTCCTCCTACTTTTCATGTGGCTACAGATTTGTCCTCTGGATCCAACTCTCATGATAGCACTAAGATATCCACTGAGTTTCAACTTGAGAGCTTACAAATTATTCTCTCTATACTACCTATGAATACACATGTTATGCAAACAAGATCCAAGAGTGGTATCTTCAAGCCCAAAGTATTTCTCTCAACAGTTGCAGATGAGAAATCAGTTGATTTAACTCAAGTGGAACCATCCACATATAAGTCAGCTCTTAAATCTTCAATGTGGTGTGCAGCTATGGAAGAAGAACTCTTAGCGTTGCATTCTCAAGGCACTTGGTCTTTGGTTCTTCTTCCTGCAAATAAGAACTTGGTAGGGTGTAAGTGGGTCTTCACAATTAAAAGAAATGTAGATGGTACTATATCAAGGTAAAAAGTCAGACTTGTTGCTAAGGGTTTCAATCAAGAAGAAGGGATTGACTATGAGGAGACTTTTAGTCCAGTTGTTAAACCTACAATTGTTAGATTACTCTTGGCTTTAACTGCACATTTTTGTTGGTTTTTAAGGCAGCTTGATGTGAAGAATGTCTTCCTTCATGACATTTTACAAGAAGAGGTCTACATGTCTCAACCCCCAGGGTTTATAAACTCTCAACAGTCTTTTCATGTCTGCAAGTTGCCTAAATCTCTATATGGTTTAAAACAAGCCCCAAGGGCTTAGAACGAGAGGTTCACCAATTTCTTACATTCTCAGGGATTTCTAACTACTTATTCTGATTCCTCATTATTTGTGAAGCATGTTGGGAATTCTGTGGTGATTCTCTTGTTGTATGTAGATGATAATCACAGACAATGCTATTGCAGCTATTCAAGATGTCATCCAGTTTTTAGCTCATGAATTTGATATTAAAGATTTGGGGCCCTTACATTATTTTTTAAGGATCCAAATCACTCACAGTGCCACTGGTTTATTTCTCTCACAGTTCAAGTATGTAACAGATTTGATAAACAAGACTGATATAGCCCTCTCCAAATCATGTCACACACCTTGTCTACCTTATAAAAGGTTACTTAAGGATGATGGCAAACCTTTTCATAATCTAGCACTGTATAGAAGTGTGGTGGGTGTTTTGCAATATCTTACTTTTATAAGACCTGATATTGCTTTATCAGTATATCAGGTTTGTCAGTTTATGCATTGTCTAATGGAATCTCATTTTATAGCTAGGAAGAGAATTCTCAGATATTTGAAAGGTACAGTGGACTATGGTATTCAATTCAGCAAAGGAGATTTAGATTTACATGCATTCAGTGATGCTGACTGGGCTGGGGATCCAAATGACAGAAATTCTACTACAGGTTTGGTGGTCTACTTGGGTTCCAGTCTTATCTCTTGGTCCTCTAAGAAACAAATCACAGTCTCTAAATCTTCAATTGAAGCTGAATATCGAGCTCTCTCCTCCACAGCTGCAGAGATTGACTGGATTAAGCAACTTCTGTAATTTCTCAAAGTTGATGTGCCATGTCCAACTACTCTATTCTATGACAACCTCTCTGCCATAGCATTAGCTTACAATCCAGTCATGCACCAAATGACAAAGCACATTGAAGTTGATATTCACTTTGTTCGAGAGAGAGTTGCCAAGAAGTTACTTCAAGTGCATTTTGTTTCTTCTAATGAACAATTTGCTGATATATTTACTAAGGGTTTGTCTACTCCTTTGTTCCAGAGACACTGTTCCAATCTCAGGTTGAGCAAACCTCATCCTACAATTGAGGGGGGATGATAACAGTACACCAAGCTTAACAGCTTGTGATCCTGTGGTTGTAATTATGACAGGTGTGAGCATCTTGTAATCCTTGTAATAACTTAAAGAGTAAGCAACCTTGTTAGATATATACATTTGATAACTTCCATTATAATCTGTTAAGAAAAACTATTAATGAAAAACCACTTCTCTGTCTAAACTTTCTCTCTTTCTCTTTCTTCAAATACTATTTCTTCTTCTGCAAGAATACAATTCTTCTTCTTTGTTGTTACATTTACACATGTCATCCTGTGATTATAAATATATGTGTGTAATATATCTATTGGGTCTTCATCACAAAGATGGGTCGTTATTCTCAATCTCTCAGTCGTCATGCATGCTTTTATAGTATTAGGGTTAGGGTGTCCCCTCCTACCGACGAAATTAATGGAAACCCTACCCAGTTACCACGCGACCAGAATACATCCGCTACGTACTTCTGCTAATCATGTGGGAGCTAGTAGCATTAGAGGTTATCTCGATACATGTTTCCATCTAGGGTTTGGTCTCATAGTTATTGTGAGTACAATATTTAACTAGTATTTAGGGATTTGATTAGACTAGCATTGGTAGTCACCAGTTGTTTTGGATAGTATATTCAGAGGCTAAAGGGGGACCAGGATCCTCGCCGGATCCATTCCCTAAGGATCCTAGGGATCCCGCAATCCTATCCGTTCATTGTGTATCGTGCGGTCAGTTTTCGTTAGTTACTATTTACTTTTGAATTTTAAAATTTAAAATTTAAATGATTTCTGACCGCACGATATACGATGAACGGATAGGATTGCGGGATCCCTAGGATCCCTAGGGAATGGATCCGGCGAGGATCCTGGTCCGCTAAAGGGAGTTCAAAGAGTCTATAACTTTATGTTGACGTAAGGATCAAGTAATTGGCTATTAGGTGAGATGGAACTCTATGATTCGAGCACTATAAATCCAAGGGATCCCTGCACATATAGTAAACGCATTAAAGCTTACAAACTCCCCATTTAGTTGAGTGCATTAGGGCTATAGTGGGTTGAAGTTTTCCTTGTGGTTCAAGTAACCAGAGCTCTCGAGAATGGCTGCTCCATATATGTTCTATTTGTGTGTTTTATTAGTTATAATCATATAGGTCTCACAATATATAATTAAGCTTTGTTTTCTTGCGTGGAAACCTTTTTCAAGAAAGTAATTAACTTTCACATGTTTCTAATTTTACATGTGATATTATGTACTAATCTATACTAAGAGAATGGGGTTTGAACTCGGAACCCAATGTATTAATTTATATAATATCATGAAATTCTCCATCCATTGCTTATTAATCTTATTTTCAATTATCTTATTTTATTAGAATATTATAGTAGATTATCTTGTTAAATTTAATGGCACGTATTTTCACGTCACTCAACATACACATTGTATGTATTTAGCTCAAGCCGAATTATTCGACACTTCATGAAGGTCATAATTTAAAGCCTATCATAGAAGTATATGCATTGTCTTTGGCCTCTTGCTCTAAATATTTCACAAGTTGCATCAAACTTCATACATGTGATGATCAATGCATACATGCACCCAATACTTAGTAAATTCTTATTTACTATGCCGTTTCATATATTTAGGAACGGGCTTCCAATTGTAGGCCATGTTTCTTGAAATTGTCATCACCAGTGTGTGCATGATATATACTTGCTGATACAACCAAATAAAAGCTTGGATTCAATAAACTAAGATGTCTAGAGAGGTTAAGAGATCAAGGTGGTTACTTAACAAGAACGTACGACCGACATGTAACTAAGCAAACAAAGTGCCCATGCGAACAAATGTTTTGCATAGCAAATATCGATATTCTCAAGCGTTCATAGCAGGACACATATGAAATATGTCCTCAAGTAGATCCATTCCAAAAAAATAAAACCATGCAGTTAAAACATCAACATAAACAACAAATATTTTAAAGTGATACCATCTTAGATACATAGGCAGAAAATCCTTACAAAAATATGGAAGTTAATTATTCTACTAAAAGTTAAGTTGTTCAGCTAATTGCTAATTCAAAACAAGCTCCAAACAAGGAGCAGGCTGAGTAGATTCATAACTAATATTGACAAATCTTATGTCCTGTGTGGAAATGATATTGAGAATCAAGATCATGTTTTTGCTAAGGGCAATTTTGCTACTAACGTTTGGAAACCAATCCCTAATGTTGACATGGCAAATCTCCACACAAGTAGTTTCAATTTATCAAGTTCGCTTGATTCGTTGCCATATGACGAATCTGAGAATCTTTCTTTGTTAAGTAAAGTCTTATTGATATGCTGGCAAATATGGAATGATAAGAACAATGTAATCTTTAGGAAGACGAAGCCTCACCCTACTAAGGTTCCTTTACTAGCTGTTGCAGTTGGGATGGACTTTTTCAGGTTGGTTCGAAGATAGGAGGGAATCCCAGGAAGGTTGTGACGGAGATAAACAAATGGCATCCGCCTGATCCAGGCTTTGCAAAGATTAATTTTGATGGCTCTGTGGCTAGGAAGAATTCAGTGGCTGGTTTTGAAGTTCGGGATGAAAATGGTTGCCCATTAGTGGTTGGTGCTCGTTCTTTAGGCATGTGTACCATTACAGTAGCTGAAGCGTTCGCTCTTCGTGATGCTCTAAGATTTGCACAGCAGAAAGGCTTCACAAAAATCTTAGTGAAAGACTCAAAACTGGTTATTGATGCGATTGAAGAAAGATGCAATGTACACTGAGAATTAGTGATACAATTGCGGATATTGAATGGTTGGTTTCTTCTTTCCACTACTTAACTTAGAAGCATGTCTATCGAGAGGCAAATTTTGTTGCTAATGCTGTAACTACTTTAGGTCTTACTCTTTCGAATATGTTTATCTGGGATCGAGAGCTTTCTGATAAGGCCTCTACGGCTCTTTTATTTGATTATAACGGATATGGTTGTTCGCGAGGTTTCTCGCTTTAATGCATTTTCTTTTTAGCCAAAAAAAAAAAACAGAAAATTTTAAATTATCTTATTTTATCATAATATTATAACAAATTATACATGTTAAATTTAACGATTATACGTATTTTGACGTCACTCAATATATATTGTATGTATTTAGCTCATAGTCATTCCACACTTCATGAAGATCATAATTTAAAGCCTACCTAAAAGTACTTTGGCATCTTGCTCTAAATATTTCACAAGGTGCATCAAACGTCATATATGTGATGATCAAGGCATGCATGTGCACATTGCTTTGTAGCTTCCTATTTAATAATGCTGTTTCATATGTATTTAGGAACGGGCTTCCAATTGTAGGCCATGTTTCTTGAAATTGTCATCACTACCTAGCGTGATACTTGCCGATACAACCAGGGTTCAATAGACTAAGATGACTAGATAGGTTAGCAGATCAAGGTGGTTACTTAACAAGAACGTACCAGCATGTAACTAAGCAATTGGAGCGTCCATGCGAACAAATATTATGCATAGCAAATATCGATAGTCTCAAGCGTTCATAACAGGACACATGAAATATGTCCTCAAGTGGATCCATTCCAAAAAACAATACCATGCAGTTAAAACATCAACCTGTACAAAAAACTTTTTTTTTTTAGAGATATAATCTTAACTAGATACACACACACACAGACATACAAGATAAAAACTTGGATTCAACATACTCAGTAAGATGTCTACAGGTTAACAGATTTAGGTGGTTACATAACAAAAGCCTACACCTTTCTTGATAAAATATGCATATCTTCGATATTCTCAACCTTTCAGATTCCTTCAATCGATCCGTTTTCTAACGAAATTGTCGGCTGTATATATAAAAAATAAAACTACGCATGGTTCTTCACAACGATATAGTTACATTAAAGAAGTAAGAAATTCGGGCAATTCACATAAGAGATCAGTCAAAATGATTTAGTATTTAACTTGTCATTCAAAAAATCGAACCTAAAACTACTTAAACTGTTGTGCTAAGTGAGAAATGAAACCATGCATGTTAGCTTTTTGTTTTGCCTGCAAAACTATATATATTAGTTAAATCGTCATCATATTTTTGTAAGAACATTGTGTGAGAATGTGAGGACAAAGTTCCACATCGACAAGGAACCAAACCAAACAAAGACTTATATGGTGTTGAGCTATTTGTTTTATGTTGGAACCTCAATTTTCTTCCCATTGTTAGTTTAATTAGAATTATTATCTCAGATCTTAATGTAAACTATGGGCCAAGTTAACGACCAAAATGTCAGCTTATTTTGGCTCTTGTTCTTCACATCATATCCCTGATTGTATTTCCAAGAATCTAAAAACATTAAAATATAGCCTTTGAAATAATAATAAATAAATAAATTATTCATAAAAAAAAACAACCTATGCACAAGAAATTCCAAATTTAGGTAGAAGGGAAATTGCTCAAATATTTAGTCAGGGCACAACGACCTTTAGCACGACGTCTGTGTAGATACCTACATAGAATTAACTGTGTTTTGTTTATATTTAGTATTATTCAAAAGTTTATCGTTACAAAACTAATACCTTTGTGGAATAATTATATTCCATATACTATATACCAAAACTGCAGTCGTTTTCATGGTTGTTACTTGATAGATAGTTGCCCTAGCTAAAACGATAACTAAATGAAAATCGATGACCTCCTGAGGTGTCGAGGTGCTATCTGTTGGAAAATATTAGT